AATGGACGCCCCCTTAATTTCCTCCACCCCCTGCTGTGAGGCGGGACCCTGTGGAGGCAGCGGTAGCTCAACAGGTTGAAGTCCCACCAGTTATCACATGCTGACGAGTGTGTGAAATTAGTTCTGTGCATTTGACCCATCCCCGCGGGGAGCTGCAGACACGGCTGCGCTCGGGAACCATTTGGTGGTTTAACCCCCAATCCCACCCTTAAAGCTGAGTGTCAAGCAGGGAGGCACTGGGTCCCATTTATTTCTAAGTCTTTGGTATGACCCGACCGGTAATAGAACCCCGATCTCCCAGTCTCAGGGCGAACACTCTACCACTAGTAGAGCGGGTTGTCCAGAAACCAGAAGGTTGCAGGTTCGATTCCGGCTCTGGACAAGAGAATTCTGCTGTTGTGTCCTTCGGAAAGACACTTCACCCACCTTGCCTGCTGGTGGTGGTCGGAGGGACCGGTGGCGCCTCTGTCAGTGCGCCCCAGGGCAGCTGTGGCTACATCGTAGCTCACCCCCACCGGTGTGTGAACGGATGAATGAGAGACGGTAGTGTAAAGAGCTCTGGAGTCCTCTGACTCTGAGAGGCAGACATCCCTACTCGGTTGGGGACTGGAGCGGTTCCCAGGCAAACGCAGATCTTTAGCATAAACGGCACGACTTGGAGGAGATGGACGTGTGTTCCGAGGAAAAGGTTGTGGGTTCATTTCCATCTGGGAAAACCAAAAGGCCAGTAAGTCCTGGACCGCCTCATTCAGCCTCTACAGAGTAACGTTTGCACTTACAGCTTTATTAGTGACCGTTGCTGTTCACATGGAGGCACCCTCACGCTGAAACCATACCAAGGCAAGACACAGATGAGATGGACATTTTCAAAAGCAGACATAAAAGCACAGCTTCTTTTTTCATAGTCTTTTCTCTCGAAACGCACACGTCAGAAAACAAAAACGTCCTTTAAGGAGTGTCACCTTAAGCCGGGCGTACACTGTGCGACTTTTTCACTCGCAGCGTTCAGCTTCAGCTCAAACTGTACGACTTCCTCGCAGGGCAGATCTCACGAGTCATGCGCTCACACTACACGACCCAGTTCTCGCATGCGACCTGACTGCTCACACTGTACGTCTGGTAGCAACACGTCGGCCCTAAAAATATGCTAAAAATAGCAGTTTTTACTCAACACGTCAGACTTGTTTTGTCTTGTTTTGCCTGTTGTCCTTCGGGAGTGCTGCAGGAGGACACACAGGGATTTATGGGGGTTGGATGAGGAAAACGAAATAAAGAAAGTAAATCTGTGTTTTGTGATCAGTTTAATTTGACATAAACACGACAAACACGCTTTCTTGACAATCTTTGTGAGTAAAAAAAACGTGTAGAAATAAAAACGAACAGCGTGTGTTATTAGGGAAATAGCGAGCGGCGAGGATTGCGCATGCGCCGTGAGAGGTTCTGGTACTTTTTGGGTCGCAGCTGCTCGCAGCGCCGCTTCAACAGTGCGATACCCTCACGAGGGACGAGCAAAATTTCAAACACGCCAGAAGTCCGTGCGACCTCACGACTGCTGATCGGCAGCTGGTCACGTGGTGTTAATCGCCTCTCGTAACCCCCTGTGCACTACACAACCGCTCGGCGCAAAACTCGCCCCGATGTCGTGGATTCTCGCACGACTGGAAAATCGGCTCAAAAAAGTGAAAAAGTCACACAGTGTACGCCCGGCTTTAGTGACCAGAGCACAGAGACCAGTTTTACTTTCATCACAAACTGTGTAAAAGCACAATAAAGACTAGAGATTGTTAAAATTCTGGTCTGAAAATAAAGAACGAACCTCTCAGCAGTCCCAGCTACGCCTAAAGAGATCAAAGTTTCGGGACTTTATCTCCTTTGCAGTGAGGCCCGGCTGCTGCGAGAACCCCAAAGGTCTCACTCGCCCTCTTTGATCGCTGCAGCCAAACCTTCTGCGGCTAGTTTCTTATTAAAGCTGGAATCACTGCACATGGAGAGGTGGATGTGTGTGTTCATAACTCATCTTACAGCAGGTTGTAGGTGTTCCTCTGCACCAACACACCTGGTCAGCAGAAGCCTGTTCATCACCTGCTGGATGTTTGTTTGTGTGTTTAGCAGACGCTGTTGTCCAAAGTGACTTACCGGTGACAATCAAGCCATCAGGTAGCCCTCGAGGCTAACGACAAACGGGACGGGGCGGGCACCCCCGGTGTGGATCTCCCTTCTCTGTGATCCTCAACAAGGACAAGCATTCATGTAAATAACTGTTGGTTTGTGACCTTCACGAAGATGGGAACTGATGATTGAAGGGGATGTTTGCATCTATAGATGCTTAACTGGGATGAAGATTTCAAAAAAAGACCCTAACCAGGACCTTATTGGAGTTTCAGGACTCTCTGAGGAAATTTCATCCGGTTGTCATCAGTCTCTTACTCTGGTCACCGAGTCGACAACAGTGAGAAGGCAAGAATCAGATTTCCATCCAGAGAAGTTGGAAAAACGTGGA